TTGAGGCACAAATGACCAGGTTGAGAATCACTGCTTTAACCAGACGTGGTTCTCCATAGATTTCTATTACCTTTTCTTACAGCCAAGACAGGTGGGATGAATACAGTCTACCAACCTAAGGTTACATTTGCTAGATCTTCATGTTGCTATCTGTGGTTTGCACTAGACTTTGCATAACATGTAAGAATGGGCTCAGGTGTGAATAGGCAAAATCTGTCTTGGGAAAGTAGTGATATTTTATGTTGCTCATAAGAATCATCATTGCACAATGCATACTAAGGCAAATTCTAGAAAGACATGGGCATATCCTTGCCGGAGGGGGGAATCCTAAATTTAAATGTAAGTTAGTGGCAACTTTTGGAGATCCTTTGGAGCCATACCTGCAGCTTTCAGAAGCTATGCCCAGCCCTGGCTCAGGTTGTATATATTTAGGCAAGACTTGAAATCAGCAAGACTTCGCTTAATTGCAATTAAGATCCATTCATTTTAAAGGAGTTCCTCAAAGTATGATCACAGCACGCCATAGCATAGATTCAATGGACTTTGGCTGACCTCAAAAAGTGAAGCAGGATCAGGCCTGGTCAGTATTTGGATGGGAAACCACTGGTAAATCACAGTGACTTGTGGAACATTTTGATGTCTGGAAAAATGATTCTAGTGCAAGGTATCATTTAGTAGCAACTAAGTGGAGTGCGGCCTGTAGCAGAGCTGTAGACAGGACTGAGAAGCTGAAAAAAACATCTTTAAAGCAGTGGCCAACCACTCCTGTATTGTCACCAAGAAAATTTCATGGATGCTTATAAATAGGTTCTAAGGGGTGTTTATAAACAGACAAAATAAATCACACCAGCAAAAAGAAAAAACTGTCTTAAAAGAAAAAAATAAAAGACCTTACATGTGAAAACCATTCATTTCCAAGAGATGAATACCAACCCCCCCAAAGAATGTTACCATCGAAAGCAAGGTTGCTTCTAGGAAGCTCCATTTCCTTTGAAGTAGATTTTAGTTAGGTTTCTAGTCCTCATGAAGAACAACCTGGAAGGAGCTCCCCTCCTGTCCAATTTGATAGCTAAATACTAGTCAGGCAAAAGTCGGCAATCACAGAAGCCGGAGCAAGTGGCACAGTGCAGAAGGCCTTACAAATGCTGAACTGGTATCTACTATGCCAAGTGTAGAGACTCGAGGTTTGTCAGGTTGGCTCCCTATTAAGGAGAGCCTTGTTCCTTGAGGGAATTATCCTGCTGCCTCCAGCCAGGTGGCTTCAACATCATCCAGTAGTTTTTTTCAACAAAAAGAGGGTCAAAAGGGGGATAATTGCTGAGCCAAATCCAGAAATGTTTAATGCTTGAGAAATGCCAAGACAAATCCAGAATGTTTAACCTTCACCTGATATTTACTGACATTTATCCATCAGTAACATTCTGTTCTGCTGGCATTTTAAAATATCGCTTTGCACCGTAGAGAAGCTGATAAATTACATTAAAAGGGAGTGGCGGTGGAATAATTATTGGCTAAATCTGCCCTCCAGTGGATCAGAGTTAATGCAGTGGTTGCTAGAAGACAATGTTTGCTTTAAAACACACAATTCGGGATATGTCCACCTGGTAAGTTCAAAGCCTCACCTGCTAAGTTCAGCCATACAAATCTGAACAAACCTAGGCACAGGATGGAGGAGATCAGTACTGGCATTTGAATATATGAACATATCTAATTTTGCTTTTCAAAACACACACACACATACAGAAACATTGGCTATCCTCTGAATTTTACTATGTAAATGGGGAAAAGGCAATGGGAAAAAGAGCAAATTAGAAAAAGGTAAACCAGGAGTTCATCAAA